GTCCCGTCGTGTCCCCGCCAAACGACAGGACCTCCACCCGGATCACCCCGGCGGGCGCCTTTCTGCCCCACCCTATTTACGCACTCACCCCCACTCCTCCCTGTCCTAGCGCCAGCTAAGATTTCCTGCGCTTTCCTTTGGAGCTTTCTCCCTCGCAGTCCCTACTGCAAAGGGTTAATATGCCGGTGGCTGGAGCCCAAGGAGAACCCCTTGGTGCTAGCCATCGCCCCAGCACCCAGACTCCCCTCTGTCTTGAGTTTCATCACCAACAAACTGCCCAAAACTGCAAATGGCCAGGCCAGAATTTCTCAACCCATGTCCCCTGTCATGGAGCAAAAGCAGTTCCTATCACCGCTCCTTGTCCCCTTGGAGATTTTAAAGGAGGCCACCACCACCAGATGACAATCTCAACACACACACACACACACACACACACACACACACACACGCTTGTAAATTAACTAGGCTACACAGGCTCATTAGATATCACACAGGTTTAGAAATTGACCAAAATTGTAGCAATGTTCCTCTTATCTTGAGCAAAATAGCAGCTGAAGTGAGGTGTTTCAAAACACGGTATTTTTTAAAAATCAACACTTGGGTATAAATTGCCACATAAGAAAAGTTCTACTGATACTGTAGTACAATTAATATTAAGAGGACTATTAGATGGCACAGTGTCAAGAGAATAGATCAGTTACACTGTTAGATATAACTTAGTAAAATTTCTTCATTGACCACGGGCAATCACCATGTGTTCGTTACTATAATCTGTATTTACAGATGAGAAAACTGGAGCTTTTGGAGCTTAAGAACTCGGTTTTATTTAAGGAGGGGCAGTAAAACACAACTGCCCGATTCCAGAGCCTGGGCCTGAGTCACCCTGGCGCTGTGCCCCCCTAAAGCAAAGCATTGCTCTCCTCATGGAGCGGCCCACCCACAGGCCTGCCACAGGCCTGTCATTGCCAGGGACGGGCATTGTATTTACTGCTCCAAGTGAAGTGGCAGCCTGATGCTACAGGCACTCTGTCTCGCCTGTTTTCTGTCTGCAGTAGAATGAGGTTTGATATTAAAACGGGGTTTTTCATCTCCCTCCTGGGAGAGTAAACCGTCCTCAGAATGTGAAGTCATCCAGAAGACCCAGTGCTGACGACTGGTCTAAAATTAAAGGCCAGACAAAGAGACCTGGAAAGGCTTCTGGCACATTCAGGAAGGCCAGGTGATACTATGGACTGATAGGAACTCAATACCAGTCACGTGCCAGTCCAGGCCCAGCCAAATAGATACTCAACCAGCAAAACTGAATTAAAACAGTCCTCAAAGTGTTCAAAGTTACAACTCCTCAAGAAGATAAAATTCTAATGATACAATCAGTCTAGATTCAACCAAAAATGATCACATAGCACATGTAAAAATAGAATTACCATTTAATAATACTACATATTTATGTGATGATACTGTATGTTCACAGAGCATATTCATTTATATCATCCCTTGGATCCTGCCAACAACTCTATGGGGTTGGAAGGGCAGGTGTTATTTTTATGATTATGCCATCGTCCTTTCCATTTTTATGCATAAGAATCCCAATTTCTGGAAATTTGCAGCCAGCTTATGTAGCTAGTAAACAGCAAAAGTAGGTTTCAAATTTGGCTATTCCATTTTTCTTTTTATTATACAGAAATCTTTTTATTATGCTAGGAGTCCACCTTCAGGAAAGCAGCAGAAATTGTTGCCTGCACAGGACATTAAACTCCATGCTTAACATTTGAGAACTGATCTGCAGAGTGGTCTGAATTGACCCACAATGGCTATCACTCTTGCTTTGCAAGCAGTTTCCTTAAGCATTATTCACAAAACCTTAGGGAATATAGACTTCACAATGAGCACTCAGCTTTTTAATGTTCTAGCTCAACTGGTCTGTGTTTGCTTGGAACATATATGGCTGCCTACCTGCCTAACATTTTTTAAGGCTGAGATCACAGTTAAACATTGTTTTTGTATTTGTACATGTGCAGAAAATGAAGAAATATAACTGAACACCAACCAGCTTTAGCTATTACTGCTGAGTAATCACATGTTTGCCTAAGGGTATTATATCAGTTAGTCATTCAAGGTAAATCAACACAAATTAGCTCAGCTTCCCAACCTATGTACACACACCAGGGAGATGCTGAGATGTCTAAAGACAAAAGAATCCAAGAAATCGGTTTGGAGAAATGCAAGCAGGAATTAGTCACTGATAACTGAATGCAGAAATAAAGCTTACTAACAAAACTCCATTAACTAAAAATGCTCAGAACAATATTTACAAATATGATTTTGTACAACTTCTGGGTGGTCAGGACTGGAGCCTAAAACCTAGAAGAGGAACAGATCATGAAAATCTAAAGAACCCAGCCTTCAGAGCAAGACAAAACTGCAACAGACAGCAATACTGCCTTTTACTGGTTTTGTGACTGAGCAAGTCAATCAACTTCCTCAAGCCTCAATTTTCTCCTCTTTAAAGTGGGAATAAGGATTATGATCTCTTGTGGCTGCTATAAGGACTGAAGGAAAGATTATATGTGAAATAACTTATCACAAGTAATTGTTCAAAAAATATTAACGGCCACCCTAGCCTATTTTGCTTAGTGGTTAGAGCTTCAACAGACAGACTGAAGGGTCTCAGGTTTGATTCTAGTCAAGGGCACATACCTGGGCTGCAGGTTCCCCACCCAAGTTGGGGACGTGTGTGGGAGGTAACCAATTGATGTGTCTCTCTCACACCAATGTTTCTCTCTCTGTCTCTTCCCACACCTCCCTTCCACTCTCTCTCTAAAAAAAAAAATCAATGGGAAAAAAAATCCTCTGGTGAGGATTAACTATATATATAAACTGCCTAGCTGAAATGTACCCTTTATGAACTAAACTAACATTTTATTTTTAACTTTGGTCTTTTGGGAAATAGATCTTCCTAAAATGCATCCCTGCGTACTTACATGGAGTTAGTGATCATAACTGAATTTTTAGTGATGGATTGGACACTATTGTAAACAGGAACCATCCTGCAATACAGTGATGCCAGAGTTTGTCCTTGTACTAAACTACGCCCGAAGAGGTAAGCTTTCTCAATTACTGTGTCCACTTTCTAGTTTTCAGTCTCCTCTTCTGCTCTCATCTTTCAGTTGTCACTGCCTTGTCTGCTATTTTGGTTCTCCTAGGATCTGGGGAACTCTATAGATCGCCTTAGAATCACTCGGCTTTGAGAGCTGAACGCCTAAGGAATTCTTAAAGAAGTGAAATACTTCAATTTTAAGTAAAACTCTATGCTATCTTGGATATTCATAGGTGGGTTTTTTTCCTTAATTCCTGCTTCTTTGGCTGTGTTCCAAATAGTTACTCTTGCCAAAGAAGTATCCTATGTAATAAAGTGTGATCGAAAATAATATTTGTGAATACAGAGATAGGCAAAAACCTATCTGCTTATGCTTCCAGTATTTTCTGGTTGGCTGCAGTAAAGAAGAAGAAGAAGAGGAAGGAGGAGGAGGAGGAGGAGGAGGAGGAGGAAGAGGAGAGAAAATAAAGAAAGAGGAAGAAGGGAGGAGGAAGAAGGGAGGAGGAGGAAGAGAAAGATTAAAATAAACAATAAAATGGCAATAAATATATATACTAGTATATCAACAATTCAATATAAAAATCAAATGAATAAGAAATGTACCCTGATACCCCTGGAGCCTTTGGTATCCTGAGATGCTTGGCCCTACCCTCTCCACCCTCCACCCCAACCGTGGGTATTGTGGCTGAGGCCGCTGTCATCTTAGGCTTCAGCAGTAACCCTTTACCCCAGACCTTATATTCATCCTGGAGGCCACATGGAATCTCCCTCACCCTTGTATTTTTACCTTACTCTTCACTCTCTTCTATACCCCTGGAGCCTTTGGTATCCTGAGATGCTTGGCCCTACCCTCTCCACCCTCCACCCCAACCGTGGGTATTGTGGCTGAGGCCGCTGTCATCTTAGGCTTCAGCAGTAACCCTTTACCCCAGACCTTATATTCATCCTGGAGGCCACATGGAATCTCCCTCACCCTTGTATTTTTACCTTACTCTTCACTCTCTTCTGCAGCCTGGCCCAATGATAGTGCTAAGCATAACAATATTTCAGAATGAATGGATGGATGGTTCCCTGGCAATCAATGCAGCCAACAGAACTCATGACTGTCTCCCCCTTTCTCACTTAAGTCCTCATGACCCAGCTCATTGTTCAGAGCCTGTGTGGCCTTCGGTCAGCACATTAGGCCGGGCAGCCCTAAATGCTGAGTGTACAGTCTGTTATTTATAGGACCTGGGTAGGTATTTGCCCTGTTGCCTTGGCTCTTTTCCTATACTCCTAATGAGCTGTTTCTGCAACTTTTATTTATTTGTAAATATTTTTTATCATTATTGATCAATTCTCTCAGAGTATCGTGTAAAACAAGCTTAGATTTTCACAAAATAATACACTAGCAAGTACTACCTTTTCAATCTCCAAGAAAAAGGCATCAAGCTTAGTTGACCACAAGGGATTTTCTTTTACTTTTTTATTGAATTTATTGGGGTGACATTGGTTAAAAAAATTATACAGATTTCAGGTGTACAATTCTATAATCCCTCATCTGTATATTGTATTGTGTGTTTGCCACTCCAGGTCAAGTCTCCTTCCATCACCATGTGACCACAGGCATTTTGTTGTGTAAGTAGTGCGCATATTTTAGAATTAGCATTCTCCAGATTCAGCTGGGGAAACAGTGTTTTTTGCTTGTGAAGGTTGATTTAACATTCAGCAAATATTTATTGAGGAGCTATTATTTATAAAGCGCTCCTCTAGGTGCTTGGGAGACACAGCAACTCCAAACAGACAAAAATCCCGCCCCTCCTGGAGCTTACACTCTAGCAGGGGAAGGCATAAGAAAAAATTCTTATTAATAAGATGATCAGTGCACAGAGAAGGAAGGTGCAGCAGGGTAAAGGGGTGCATGGGGCAGGATATGTATGTTGCAGCCTTTAACCGGGTTGTCAGGGGAGGCCTCATTGAGAAGGTCACATTTGAACAAAGAGCTGAAGAAAGACAAGGAGTTAACGGAGGATTTCTGGGCAAAGTACATTCCAGAGAGAGGAACTATCTAGAGCAGCGGTTCTCAACCCGTGGGTCGCGACCCCTTTGGGGGTCGAACGACCCTTTCACAGGGGTCGCCTAAGACCA